ATATATATATATATATATATATATATATATATATATATATATATATACTTTGTATATAAAGAGAGAGAGAGACTGTAGGTGTGTGTGTACATTACGTTTTGCATGTGCAGTATGACCACCGCTATAATTTGAGGAAACTGTGCTTTTTAGTCAACAAAGTCCATGCTCAATAATTCAGGTATACAATCCAACAATTTTCAGTCAGATCATCTGGACAGTTTCTTTTTTTGTGCTGTTGGTTTTGAACCAGTTTGGCATGACTGTCGACAAGGAAGAGGGCCGGCACCGGAGGAGGGGGCGTGCCAAAGAGATCATCTTAGCACTAACATAACTGGTTTGTTCCACTTTGGAGTAAGATGCCTGGGGGAAGAATCAGTTTTGTGTTGTGTGCTTCCTTGATTGATGAAAACTTCTGGATGGAAGGTGAAATGTTTCAGCACAAAAAAAAAGAAACTGTCCAGATGACCTGACTAAAAAATGTTTGATGTGCTTTCTAATGTTGTTATTGCTTAAAAGTAAATTTTCCTCAAATGACTGGGTGGTCATTTCCTGGTTCTGTCATTGTGCCTGGTAGTGGATAAAATTGCTCCCTTCAATTGCCAGTATTTGTCACTTTGCACTGCTTGGGACAGGCAAAGACAAAAAAAAAAAAAAAAAGAATATCTACTCTGTTCTTGAACAGTGTAACTCCTGCCCACTTGCCTTTCTTGCACCAAAAATATGACGGTTTAGTTGGAAGGTTTTCTGTTCAATTCCAGTCCAGAATAACTCAAAAACTACAAACATTCACTATTTGATCTCCTCAGTGATGGGGGACATTGGCATATCAATTGTTTTTCTGCAGTTTCTCCAGACATGACACTTCTTTTTTATCCTCCAGTTGTTCACTTTCTTCAGTTTTAAATAAAATATTTTGAGGTACATGAACTGAACTGAAAGGAAATGGAAATAAAAGTCTAATTCTAAAACAAACAAAAAACGAACATTAGAAAACCTGAAAAACTATTGATCAATACCACTTTTTAAAAAATCTGCAGGAAAGTCTTGAAATAAACATGAATAAATTACAAGTAGTTCAATTCTTTTGCACAGTGCTGTCATAATTTTAATATTTTGTGAAATAAACTCAGCATGGAGGATTTATCAAAATCTACATTTGTCTAATGTAGTGTTGAGGGAGCTTTACATCAACCTGTAGTTTTTGAAAACACTGAGAATCTCAACACCAGCATGGTTAGAAACCAGAGGAGTTCTTTAAAGGGACTGTGTTGTGTTTGTCTGCACCATTAATCCACTTGACGGTCTGGTTTTGTGGTGCAGGTCTTGTCAGTTGTCTGTGATTAGCTGACCCTTGAGGATGTGAGAGACTTTGCAACAAACATTTTATTGAGTGAATTTGTAATTTTATAGTTATTTAAAGTCAAACAATTACTTTTATTG